CGTCCGTTATGTGAACACATGCCGAGAGCTCAAACACTTCTCAAACACAACTACTTACTAAACTGTCATGTGAATAATATGGATCACATCACAAATGATACGTCACTGATTGGGCCATGTCATGTGATACCTAGCTGTGGGAGGCCGGAATGAGAGGTTCCTAGTTGTCGGTCACCGCTAAGTTCTAACACTAAAGTTCGCTAGGTAGATTCGCTACTGTCCAATTGTTTAAATTTTGTTGTTTCTAGCGGAGTAAAGTCTAAGTCATAGGTACCGCACTCTAGTTCGGAAAATGATGTTTTGTTAAACAAATCGAAGCGGTTACTGTTAGGTAGGTAGTCGTACTCGTACACAGTTATAATTAACAAGTTAACATCAACTAAAGTTTAATTGGATTTGGTAAATATAAACACACTTTAACTTTGAGCGTGTGTTTTAGACCTCATTATAACCGGCATTAGTGCAATAATTCGTACTGTGGTTTGATATTTGAAACGGGATGAAGTTTAGATTTTTAACTGCTAACACTATAAAAGTAATCTTTCGCACTACACTGACTACAGTATGTGTCGCACTACAATCCAGGTAGCGTACTCTATTATATTCAGTGCGACACAATATCCTATCTTATTTCCAAGTTCAGGTCAGATCCTATCCTTCTTTTGGATCATTAACTCATCAAGTGATTCGTCAGGCCGGTTCACGTTACTTATTTCGAAGTGATCTTGTGGACGCGATTCGTCGGTCACGTTATGTATTTCGATCCACTGATCATAATTCCTTCGGGTCAGTTCAATCCACGTATACAGTATGTGATCCACTGCAGAGTCGTAAGCAGCATATGATCCTAATTCCTATCACAAATGAAGTTATGTAAAATATAAGGTGGCAAAGATTTTTCTAAGAAAGCGTAGCTAGATTTAACTCTCCCGCAAATAAATTATAAGGCGGCAAATATTATGCTAAGAAAGCGTAGATTTAACTCTCCCGCAAATAAATTATAAGGTGGCGAATATTTTGCTAAGAAAGCGTAGATTTAACTCTCGCGCAAATAAATTATAAGGTGGCGAATATTTTGCTAAGAAAGCGTAGATTTAACTCTCGCGCAAATAAATTATAAGGAGGCGAATATTTTGCTAAGAATGCGAAGATTTCATTCTCGCGTAAACAAACTAAAAAGGAGCGTGCAGCGCGCGTCAGACCGTTTGGCAAATATTTTGCTAAGAATGCGCATTTTCCTAACGTAAAATTCGCCTCCTTATGAAATATTTGCATCATCACGCGCAGCCTGGCAAATACATCATAACACGGCGCATATTTTGCTAAGATGGCAAATATTTCGTTAGCGCGGCAATTATTTGCGTAACATGGCAATGTTGCAACCCGGGAGGGGGCTCTTAAAGACCTTTAACTCACACACCAAAACTTTAAATTTCATCAAATTACAAGTGTCCTAATATATACGTCTCTTATTAAGTTAAAAAGTCAGGGGTGCAGCCGTTGTACTTCAATTAAAATAATTGATCACGATGTTATTTTATCAAAATCAGCTACTCGTTTAATATCAGAATATGTAATATAAATTAACAGGGGTTAATTTATATAACAGGGGTCGCCCCCCCCCCCCCCGCCTCTGCCCCCTCTCTTCCTCTCATATCTACACAATAAAGGTTATTTATTGGTATGAGATCCAGGCCTTCCACCCGTATTATACGTACATTGAGGACTACAATTGGCAGAGTTCCCGATATTCCAATAGAGGATAAGCAAGCAAAGATGTAGTCATGTACAGTACACAATAGTTTTCATTATTACTTATTGGCTTTAATAGATTTCTTGTACCATGAATATGGGACATGGGTACAATATTTAAAAGGATATTATGATTCCTCATATTTGGAAACATTTTGGAAACATTGTTTCCATGGGAATTTCATGGGAATTGGAGGGGAATTAGAGGGGAATTACGTATTATTGATATTTATCCACTTAAATTAGCTGTATACGGTTTCAAAAGGTTCTATTGGTGACAAAAGTGTACTTAAACCTTTTCTAAGCAATATAAGGCCTGAAAAAAGTGGGGGGAGGGGGGGGGGGGGGGGACAAATTTTTGCCAAAAAATTTTTTCCAAAATGTTTTTCAGAAATCGTTGGAATTGTACTAATGATATATGAGTCCATTATATAAGTGGAAAACATCTCATCCATTGCCGAAAATAGGGTTTCCAAGGTCCGAGATGACTTGGAAACATTTTGTACAAAAGTGGAAACATTTGAGAATCCATGGGAATTTTTTGGAAACATCCGAATTTTGCCCTAAACGGTCTCCGATGCGGTTTTTTGATGTCCTGGTAGATGAGGGAGGACGATTCCAGTAAATAGGGGCCATCAGGAAAACTCGGAGGCCGGAAATGGCCCCAAAAAAGGCCTTTTGGGGTGATTTCCAATTAGAGCTAATTAAAGCCAGATTTTCGGCTTTAATTGGTTGGAACAGGTCCAAATTGTACTGGGTGAGTTGCATAGAGGTTAGACACATCTGATCCATCGCAGAAAATCGGGTTCCAAGGTCCAAAATGACTTGGAAACATTTTGTAAAAAATGGAAACATTTTGTACAAAAATGGAAACATTTGAGAATCCATGGGAATTTTTTGGAAACATCCGAATTTTGCCCTAAACGGTCTCCGATGTGGTTTTTTGATGTCCTGGTAGGTGAGGGAGGACGTTTCCAGTTAATAAGGGCCATCAGGAAAACTCGGAGGCCGGAAATGGCCCTAAAAAAGGCCTTTTGAGGTGATTTCCAATTAGAGCTAATTAAAGCCAGATTTTCGGCTTTAATTGGTTGGAACAGGTCCAAATTGTACTGGGTGAGTTGCATAGAGGTTAGACACATCTGATTCATCGCAGAAAATCGGGTTCCAAGGTCCAAAATGACTTGGAAACATTTTGTACAAAAATGGAAACATTTGAGAATCCATGGGAATTTTTTGGAAACATCCGAATTTTGCCCTAAACGGTCTCCGATGTGGTTTTTTGATGTCCTGGTAGGTGAGGGAGGACGTTTCCAGTTAATAGGGGCCATCAAGAAAACTCGGAGGCCGGAAATGGCCCTAAAAATGGCTCCAACCAATTAAAGGCGAAAATCTGGCTTTAATTGGCTCTAATTGGAAAACACCCCAAAAGGTCTTTTTAGGGCCATTTCCGACCTCCGAGTTTTCCTGATGGCCCCTATTAACTGGAAACGTCCTCTCTCACCTAGCAGGACATCAAAAAACCGCATCGGAAACCGTTTAGGGCAAAATTCGGATGTTTCCAAAAAATTCCCATGGATTCTCAAATGTTTCCATTTTTGTACAAAATGTTTCCATTTTTTACAAAATGTTTCCAAGTCATTTTGGACCTTGGAACCCGATTTTCTGCGATGGATCAGATGTGTCTAACCTCTATGCAACTCACCAAGTACAATTTTGACATGCTCCAACCAATTAAAGCCGAAAATCTGGCTTTAATTGGCTCTAATTGGAAAACACCCCAAAAGGTCTTTTTAGGGCCACTTCCGGCCTCCGAGTTTTCCTGATGGCCCCTATTAACTGGAAACGTCCTCTCTCACCTAGCAGGACATCAAAAAACCGCATCGGAAACCGTTTAGGGCAAAATTCGGATGTTTCCAAAAAATTCCCATGGATTCTCAAATGTTTCCATTTTTGTACAAAATGTTTCCATTTTTTACAAAATGTTTCCAAGTCATTTCGGACCTTGGAACCCGATTTTCTGCGATGGATCAGATGTGTCTCACCTCTATGCAACTCACCCAGTACAATTTGGACATGCTCCAACCAATTAAAGCCGAAAATCTGGCTTTAATTGGCTCTAATTGAAAAACACCCCAAAAGGCCTTTTTTAGGGCCATTTCCGGCTTCCGAGTTTTCCTGATGGCCCCTATTAACTGGAAACGTCCTCCCTCACTTACCAGGACATCAAAAAACCGCATCGAAGACCGTTTAGGGCAAAATTCGGATGTTTCCAAAAAAATTCCCATGGATTCTTAAATGTTTCCATATTCTTTACAAAATCTTTTCAAGTTAGTTCGGACCTTTAAAGTTTAAACCCCGGTTTTTTACGATGACTAAGCTGTATCCAAACTCTATGCAACTCACTCGGTACAATTTGGACCTTTTCCAACCAATTAAAGCCGACAATCCTGCTTTAATTGGCTCCAATCGAAAAACACCCCAAAAGAACTTTTTTTTAATCTCTGCCCCCAAGTATCCCTGATGGCCTTAATTACCTGGAATCGTCCCCCCTGATTTACCAGGAACCCAAACAAACTCATCGGAGACCGTTTAGGGCAAAATTCTGATGTTTCTAAAAAGTTCCCATGGATTCTCAAATGTTTCCATTTTTGTACAAAAGGTCCTTATAGGGGCCATTTTCGGTTTCCGAATACCCAATTGTTGGCTCCAATTAACTTTTGATTAGAATTTGACATTGCAGATATTTATTTCTTATACCTAGACCTTCTAATACCTCCTAATATAAAAACTCTAATAATACCGTTTGAGTTATTCATTAACACGTTGCGCTTGCTGGCAAATTTACGATATTTCGATTTTCTGACAAATTTTGCTTCCCACCCCTTCTTGATAGATTGAAACACCTTTACAGCATATATGAACCGCTAAAGAACATAATAAACCAGCTTCCCGATAATTTTGGGGAAATCGGACATTTAGAAAATGTTTCCATTTTGAGGAATCATTATATGTTTAAAAGTCTAATGTAGCGCGCTGTAAAATGATTGATGTAAAAAGTCTGGATTTCTGCATTGACTGTGAAACGCGCAGTATGCGCGCCACGTGAGCCTGGTCGAAAATCATGTGAGACATCTAATTCTTGAATTAGGGTACACAATTTCATTACTATAGACATAATAGGTACCTGACTGAGGTTCTAAGCTTCAAAAGCTTTCAGATTGTCTGACGTATAACGTTATCATTTTCAGGACGGCAGGCTGCAGATAGGAGACCACATAATTCAAGTCAACAACATTAAGTGCGCCAACTTCGGCCAGGCGGAGACAAAAGATCTTGTGATACCTGAACTAAGAAACTCAACTCCAACAGTAAAACTTCTCGTCCAACATGCCTCCAAACGGATTAGAACACCGTCTTCTCACACTAACGGTAGTGGAGCTACCAACACTCCTTCTAAATCCGGGCCTGGTTCTACCCTTCCTGTACAGAAACACATTGATCAGGTAATAGTTGTAGATTGCCGATATCAGACGAGTTAATTGTAACACCACTTCATACTATTCTTCTGTAAACAATGGTTTTGTTCCTATTTCTACAAAGTATCACACCCGACCTTATTCAGGCCCCTGACATGTTGTTACCGGAGGCACTGTGGTCAGATGCAAATCCTTCAGCTCCTATAGCTTACAGATTTGGAACTGTTATTCTACCTGCCCCTGCTTGGATAAGGTTAACAGTTTGGGACAGTCTCACTTTTTAATCGTTTTATTAGGAGGGTTGATGCTTTAAGCTTTTAAGGGAGCGATGAACTACGAGAGTATCCAAAATAAATAATACATTGGATTGGGGAAGTTGGTCGTTTAGCTCCGGACAGTCTATGCAACGTCTATGCAACGTCCGTGCAACAACAAAAGAACCGTCTATGCAACGTCTATGCAACGTCCCTGCACAATGAACACTCTATGCACACTCCCTGCACGGTCAGTCTATGCAACGTCTATGCAACGTCTATGCAACGTCCCTGCACAGTACCATATGAACACCGGCTACTAGCCGGCTAGTAGCCACTTTTGTAATAACAGCTCCTCAACTTCACATTAACAACCGGCTACTAACCGGCACTTGAAAAGTGGTCACTAGCCGGCTACTAACCGGCTACTAACCGGCTAGTAACCACCAAGTGGCTACTAACCGGCTACTAACCGGTCACTAGCCGGCTCTAAAGCAGACCTATTAGTAGCCGGTTCTAAACCGGCTACTAGCCGGCACTTGAAAAGCGGTCACTCGCCGGCTACTAACCGGTTAGTAGCCGGCTAGTGACCACTTTTCAAGTGCCGGTTAGTAGCCGGTTGTTAATGTGAAGTTGAGGAGCTGTTATTACAAAAGTGGCTACTAGCCAACCGGCTAGTAACCACCAAGTGGCTACTAACCGGCTACTAACCGGTCACTAGCCGGCTCTAAAGCAGACCTATTAGTAGCCGGTTTTAAACCGGCTACTAGCCGGCACTTGAAAAGCGGTCACTCGCCGGCTACTAACCGGTTAGTAGCCGGCTAGTGACCGCTTTCTAAGTGCCGGCTAGTAGCCGGTTTGGAACCGGCTACTAGTAGGTCTGCTTTAGAGCTCGGCTAATAGCCGGCTAGTGACCGCTTAGTAGCCGGTTAGTAGCCACTTTGTGGTCACTAGCCGGCTAGTAGCCGGTTAGTAGCCGGCTAGTGACCACTTTTCAAGTGCCGGTTAGTAGCCGGTTGGTAATGTGAAGTTGAGGAGCTGTTATTACAAAAGTGGCTACTAGCCGGCTAGTAGCCGGCTAGTAGCCGGCTAGTAGCCGGTGTTCATATGGTACTGTGCAGGGACGTTGCATAGACGTTGCATAGACGTTGCATAGACTGACCGTGCAGGGAGTGTGCATAGAGTGTTCATTGTGCAGGGAAGTTGCATAGACGTTGCATAGACGGTTCTTTTGTTGTTGCATGGACGTTGCATAGACGTTGCATAGACTGTCCGGAGCTAAACGACCAAGTTGCCTTGGATTGATAATGACTCAATAAAATTATTTTCAGTTGGAGTAAGAAAAGCATTTCGTCACGCTTACAAAGTTAGCAAACGGTTTTGGATTCAGTATAATGGATTATAAGGTTTGTAAGATGTGTAATTTGGTCTTTTATATACTTATTTACACACTTGTATGTATTTACATTTGTACTCTAAAATTGGTAACAACGGAAGGTTACTTTTTGGACAATATTCCGTGTTTTCAAGCCTTTGGAGATTACGTCAAGTTTACAGTACAATACAAACATTAAACAATCAATGTTAACACAACCTTGCCTCAGGAACCAAAACAGAAATCAGGAGACAACACGTCAGTCCTCATAATCCGTCAAATAACTCCGTTTGGAGCGGCTGACTTGGAAGGACATTTGTCGCTGGGAGAGAGGATAATGTCGGTTAACGGGGAACCCATCACTGATCACACTATTGAGGATATAGTGGGGATGATTAAACCCTGCAATGTGCTTCAACTCAAGGTTAGTAGAACTGGACTCCAACTGAAACTTCTGACAATTAGTTAATTAGTTAATCAAAATTAAGTAAGTTAATTACCTAAAAAGTACAAACACAGCATGATGTAGATAATGATAACGATGAAATGTTAATGTTTTACAGTCTTGTTTAAATGTTGACTCGCCCTTCAGATGTGTAAGCCAGTGGAGAGTGAGAGCTGGAAGAGTCTGCTGAATACTAATATATCTGCAATACCTCTAGTTAGTGGACCACGCTCCACCAGTCGCAACAGCTCTCAGGTATGAAAACTTAAGTTAATTAAGTTAATTAGTTAATTAAGGGAGGTATCTAGTTATGATTGGTTCTTAGACTTAGTGTTTAATGAAATCACATCTAATTAGGTTATTTCCTTGATTGACCTGGATAGTGGAATTCGTCAATTATCCGTTAGAACCGAACCCCACTATAGTAAGATAAAGAGAAAAAACTGTATCATTTAACAATTGTAAATTGTATCATTGTTTTTGTAACTTATTGTGATATTGTCTTGTAGAAAAGTAAGCCTATATCTAATCATGATCCTAAAGATTGAAAATATTTGCCAAAAAATGATCATGTGACCCAATGTATTATCACGTGACGGAATGTATCTCATAGGATTGTATTACACGTGGGATAACAGGGTGGGGGAGACATGTTATCTGATCAGGCCACTGGACCAGACATTTGTGGTATCCAATCACTCAGCAGTCACATCAGAGCATGTGAACCTCCAATCATTGGATCTTGTCACACGGTCGAGATCTGATCCCACGTGAGAAAAGGGCATGGCTCTCACCATGCTCGCCCCTGTCAAGTTCACTATAAATACCCTTACAGCTTGCGTTACCTCATCGAACATTTTACCTCCTTCTACAATCACAACTATTACTTCTCATCTTCTGTTACAATAAATTCCAAACCTACCATGAGTACCACTCTTGACTTCACTGAAACCTACGAACCCATTAGACTGCTCGGAGAAGGTGGATATGGAGCGGTGTGGCTGGTCAAGCGGATCTCTGATGGTACCCTCTACGCTGCGAAGATAATCAACGACTCAAAGTGCAAGAGGAAGACTTGGTGTGAAGAGAGATCAGCTAGGATACCAGACGAGATCATTTTCTCGGAGACATTAGACCACCCTAACCTGATAAACCTTCACGAGATCTACTTCGAGCAGGATTCCTGGATTATTGTGATGGATTACCTACCAAACTTCGTGGACTTGTTTGATCACATCTCTCAGAACGGAGCCCTGTCTGTGGAGAATGCCCGTGAAGTCCTGACCCAGCTCCTGGATACCTGCATCTACCTCATCTCACTCGGAATCGACCACAGGGACATCAAGGACGAGAACATCCTCTACAATCCAACAACTTGCCGGATAAAACTGATAGACTTTGGCTCTGCTTCCCATATTCCAGATACTCCTTACACCCGATATCAAGGAACAGAAGTTTACCTGCCTCCTGATTGGTTCACCCATGGATCTTACTCAGCGCTTCCCCGCTATGACGTGGAGTATTGGATGTCTCGCTTACATTCTTCTGAACGGTGACTGTCCATTCTCAGCGAAGGAAGAAGTAGCAGCATACAGACATCTGCAGTTCATCAACCCCCTACTTGATCAGGAAAGCAAGGAATTTCTTTCTGACCTACTTAGAATTGATGAAGATGATAGGATGACTCCTGGAGAGCTAACATGTCACCCTTGGATGCAGTGGATTTCTATGGAGTAATTCGTGATAGATAGATATTATTGAATTATGTATGTTTTTGGTGTTTTGCCATTTTTTCGTTCAAATCATTTTGACCATATTTGGTATTATTCTTATAACAACTATAGCACTAAAACTTTTAATATTGTCCTGGTCGGTATCACTGGTCAACTCAAGGTTCATTATTCTTTAAATCAATGCTTATATTTTGGGCGAAAGTGACAACCATATGTTAAATAACTCGCTGATTTATTAAAGGTTATCTTTAATTATAACATCAAGTCCCAGATTATGCAAAAGTGAACAAAGTAACTTTTAACTTGGCATAGCTTTAGGCTGAAATTTAATCTATTAGATATATAGCTGCCTTCACTTGATGATTTATTGTTTCAGGAAGCGATCAGTACATCCACTTTGAACGTGGCTAGAGCAAACTCATATCAGTCACTAAACAGTGAGGTATCTGCGGAGCAAACATCCTTCTCTCATCAACCAATAATTCGTCATCCGGGTGATAACAAACGTTCTTCGAGCGATAACATTCGCCATCCTGGAGATAACATCGTCACCATGGAGAAAGTATCCGTCACCCTGACAATATCCATCATACTGGGGACAATGTCCGTTATTCTACTGACAATACTCGAGAACCTATTGATAAAGTTGGCAGTGATGGATTCGTTACTATAGTGATGCTCCTGAAGAAAACAACCACAGAAACATACAGCCGAACTATCAAAGAGAAAGGCCAAACTCAGAAGAGGAATTCAAATCAAGTTTTATGTCCCGTGGTATTCCCTCAATGTACGAAGCAACTGAGCAACATTCTCACTCAAGGTCATATAGCGCCGACAGATCCAGTGGAACCGATCTCCATAGCAACGATCTGGATTCTTCTTCCGGAGGACCAGGATCCGGGGGCAGTTCCCTCCGTCGGAGATACCAACCCTCAAACCACGGACATCTGGGCATAGTTCGTAGAGTCAACAGCGATAAGAGCGAGGAAGCACAGAGGAGACGTGGTGATCACAATGGTGGTCCGGACAGTTGTGATTCTAACTTGAGATACACTGACGTAAGACAACCTCGCCCACCACAACGTGAAGTCCGCGGTTAGTCACGTGTTAGATTTGTGGTACCATAGTTTAAATATTGGGGACATTATATTATCTAAAATGTAATATCAATTTACAATGTTCTTTCGTACGACGTACGCTCCCAATCAGAAGTAACTGTTCAATGTTTTAACCGAACGTTTAACCGAAACTCTCACTCCACAGAACAAGGGAGAGTCCGATCACCGGATGTCCGGAGACAGAGATACAGGGGTAACAGAGCAGGGACAGGGACATCGTATCCTGCTACAAGTCGCAAACAGGAGACTACTTTTGGGACGAAACAGGCATATAAGCAAAGTGTGAGTTGAGTATTGAGACCTGGGTTTTTATCTAAATATCTTTTATTGCTTTTCAGTTAAAGAAACAAAGTTGGCGGTAAGGATTGTCCAATAACTCCAATAACTCCAATAACTCCAATAACTCGTCAATATATTTGAGGTGATAATAAATTCTAAAACAGATGTTCTTATTTCAGCATTCCTCCGGGAGCAACTCTGAGATACAATCCATCATTAGCTCAGTCTCTGGGATCAACAACAGCGAACTAACTGAGATGTGGAAAAAGAGGACCGTCAAACCCACCCCCAGCAAGCAACTATCCAGAGTTTAAAAATGTGGACAAATGTTAACTTCTATTTTGGAGTTTCGAGGATTTTTAAATAGAGATTTATCACATAGGTTGAAGTAGCTGAGATTTGATTGAACAAGTTTATTTTATTTAGTGAAGTTTCCAGTTGTGGAACGATGCGATTAAGCAAATTTTACGAACTTTAAATGATTCAAGATTTTTATATATTATAGTTATGCTAAATACTAAATATGAGCTAAATGAGATTAGCCTAACACTAATTTAATAAACAGCGAGCCAGAAATATTTTCCTGAAAATGCATGAACGCTAATAGTTAGATAGGTATTTGACTGTGATATCCCATTGTATCCCTGACTGTTGAATAAGCAATTAGCATAACCAAGGTACGATATTATTTTAACAATAATAGTATTTATAGCTCTATCTTTGGGTGCTTCCTGGCTGTCCGACACAGTGCATGTGTAAATATCTGGGTACACTTCAATAATCAATACAGGAGAAGTAATCTTATTTCTCTAAGAAACCCATAAAGAGTATAAATGTTAGATTCAAGCACTGACTCGGACGTTGTAGCCAAAGTGGGAGTAGATTTTTCTTAGATTTTTAGCATTTTTGTAGCGCAGACGATCTAAGCTTTGTATTATGAATGTTATAGAATTTACTAATTTTTTTTGCAAATAGGAAATAATTGTTTTCATTCTTTAATGTTAGGTCGCCGGTAAACGTGTTTCTCAGTTCCTAATTCCTATAATAAACATGTTGCACCAATGAGACTAATTGAATCTGGTACACCTGCTCATTGACAACTGGTCATCATTTATATTCCATAATTCTTCGAAATATTCAACCTTATCCTTACCCTTACCACTATTAATATTACCCTTACTCTCCGGCCTCTATTAGTATTACGTAGACCCTTCTTTTGAATGTGTAAATTCAGAAATACTTAAACAAGAGAATGACCAGTTGTCCAGTTGTACTTCCTCCGCAAACTGCCTGCTAAACAGTGCAAACAGCCTGCTAAGCAAGTAAACAGTACGTTGCAGTACCACCATGCTCAGGCAATTTATCGGTAATAAGATTAAGTTTTTACACGTGTAGTTCCTCGAAGTTCAAGCGGAAAGACGTATTTGTTGTGTAGTTAGTTTCGCCACAACCGATGAGATGTACTACGATGTTGATGCTGTCATTCTTGACAATGGTAGGTAGGGACGCTATATTGCAGGGGACGCTATTAGGGACGCATTGCCACTCTGCCATTTGCGCTATGATAGTATTTAGCGATGTTTTAGCTTTTGGTTCAGCATTTTTGTTGTGTGGCTGCTTATTTGCATTGTAGTTGCACTGTAGTTGCACTGTAGTTGTACTGTAGTTGCACTGTAGTTGCACTGTAGTTGCATTGTAGTTGTACAGCTGCGCGAACTCTATAGTTCTACGCTTTCTTTTTGCACTGATAGTGATGCTTTGCTCGATCACATAGGTCACATAGGTAGGTATCTAGTATATCTGCCTCAGTCAGCGCATTTAATTTGACATATTACTCACATATAACTCACATATAACTCACATATTACTCACATATTACTCACATATTACTCACATATTACTCACATATTACTCACATATTACTCACATATTACTCACATATTACTCACATATTACTCACATATTACTCACATATTACTCACAGGCACGGGATACATCAAAGCTGGGTTCAGTGGTCAGGATATGCCAAGTCACATCGTGCCGACACTTCTGGGACGACCCAAGTTCAACAATGTCATGTTAGGATCCAACAACAAGGTACATTTCTCAATTCAAGCATAGTCTAGAGAATATTTTTGTTTTAAAATGGGTTTTCCATTTTATTTATTTCTGATAAACTCATTGGTGATATTTTGGACGTGCTTAATCAGCACCCCCGCCCCGGCTTCCAGCAATAATGATAACACCCATGTTAATTATATTTAGAGCTATATTTGTGCAGACAGAAGGAAGTACCAAGGCGTCTTGAACTAGCAAATAAGCAGTTACCAATACCATTGAGGATGAAGTCTTGTCTGAAACAGTATTTTTAGACACTATCGCGTTAGAACACGTTATAGCGTAACCAGCTTGAAAACTTCAAGTGTACTTAAAACTAATATAAAAGAAGACGTCAAATTCTTACTCCATAAAACAGCAATTAATCAAATTTCAATTAAATATATATCTACTACTCTCTTTGTCGAACACGAGAAACAAACACTTTTTATCTACTACTCTCTGAAAACTTTGTAAGTTACTAGGTACCTCTGCTGACGAAAGAGAATAGATTATTCTTGGCCAAATCAAGCTTGTATTGACAATAGCATTACGCTATTAGTAGAAATTCTCGTGGATATGGTACCTGGAAAACTAAAACGTATTTTTTTACAATGGATATTAATCGAGAGCTCAGAATTACGATTTTCGACTACCTTCTTATTATTCTTACATTTGAAATGCCGAGATAGAAATGGAATTTACCTCTAGAACGAACCCAACACGCATGATGGTCTTTTTGAATGGTCTTCTAGTTTTGGATAGGAGGAATCTTATCGACAATGACTTCGTTATTTTTACCCTGTGACCCTGAACAAACATTAATCAAGGAATCGTGCAAATTACTCTTTAAAGGATATAAATGGGTAAAACAATAATCAATGATGGATATCTCAACTCAGGTAAACGAAGTAATAATCAATATGATGCTTTATATCATACTAAACTTTGTACACTTACTTACTTTGATAATCTCTGTCTAATGTCCGAAAGATTAACCTTGAAACTAGTCGGGAAGGTTTTCTAATATGGACGTGTCTGGTCAAACTTGGAGAGAATTACGTATTACTTGCAGAATAAATTTAGATGATCATGAATGGAGGTAACTGGAATAAACAATTGAAGCAAGATTAATAAAAAATTCGCGTTTTTGAATTCGAATTAAGAAAAAGAGCTTACTGGATTACTACTAGTTGTGTTTGGGGACCGGTTTTTGGTACACCGGCCAATGTTTACAAAAATATCATATGATACATAACAATATAATTTTATTTGATATACGTGAATATGAAAATTGAAAATTATGATGTAACCTTTTACGTTTATTCATTAAAAAAAATGTATTTTAATAAAAAATAAAAATAAATTAACTGGCAAGCTTATCAAAATCTCAATATATATTCCCCGAATCGTAGTCTACCAGTAATTATCGTTAAACTGTACGCTCCATAGACCACAGTCTGAGACTGTGATTTGGCCGGTCTGTATTTATACGTGTTTGATTGGACTCCTCCTTGGGAATCTAATTAATCGTGTCAAATTGTTTACTGTTTTAACAAACAAAGTGTCTTTTGTTAATTAAATTATAAATTCCTATTGTAACCCACTTTTCTTCTTCGGATTAACTTCTGATAATCTGCTAAACGTTAGGAGGTATATCTTACCACAAGTCAGTCGAGCACAGAATTAAAAACAGAAAATTCTCGGAATTTCCGAGGCTCATCACAAATCACAATCCCCTGGTCCCAGCTGGCAGCTGTTCATGGCTACCAAAATATCTTAAGAATAAGGAGGAGTTCTGACGTAACTTATAGAAGGATATAAAATCACAGTGACTCCAAAATTTGACCAGATTTTCAGCCAGCATTTTGGGAGTCGGTTGCGTAATTATTTTTTCATAGCCAAATTGGCAATGTTTTAACGCTTTCTTTGGAATCCTTGTTTTTAATGCACGCTGAATAATAACATTTTACATCGTCTCAGTCAACAGAGTAGTCTTTGTTGAAATTTCTTTCCAAAGAACTATAGCGGGTAAATAATATTCTGTTGACGAAATATTCTTTAAATGACCAGGTTCTGTTGAACATGCAAACGGACAACAAAACGTTATATGGTATCAAAGATGATGCGGAGCGGTCACTTCTCATATTGTGGAACTTTACGGTTATCATGCTGTCGCTTATAGGGGACAGTATAATTTTGATAGCGACTATCAAATACAAAGCCATCAAACTCCATAAAGTGATAATAACAGTGATGCAACACATGGCTGTTTGTGACTTGATACAAACTGTATTCAGAGTATTCCCTGTCACCCTGGCAATAATATCAGATCGGTGGATTGTTGGGGAGCTGCTCTGTCATGTGGAGGAAAATGTCAGTTGGGCTTGCGCTCTGCTGACATCGTTCCTGACTTGTGCTATGACCACTCTGAAACTGATAATAGTGAAGTATCCTCTGAGAACTGGTGCCTGGTCCACACTGTTAGGACATAAAATCTGTGCTTCTTTGTGGCTCCTAGTGCTTTGTTGGTGCACTCCATTACTAGTAGTGAGACTACTTTACACAGGAGACACATTACACTTCAGCTACATTAACTACAGTTGTGTTTATGATTGCCTCCCTCCTAGTGTACCCACCTGGTTAACATGGTACTTACCAATCAGTGTTGCTGCGTTTGGTATCCTCTGCTACACGACGCTCATCGTTACATCAGTTCTCCTCCTGATCGTGGCTAGTAGAGCTGCCTCCCGACACGGAGAAACACTGAGATGGGAGGGGGTGACAACAGTTCTACTAACCTTCGGGGTCTTCTTTCTATCTTACCTGCCATTCACCGTGTGGTTGGTGACATATCTCCGGGGAGTTAAATACAGCAGCACTTCCATTCGAGTAATGTCTTATCTTACTAATCTGAATGTAATGGCTAATTTCTTAGTGTACTCACTAACTGTGCGAAGTTTTAGACATTTCCTCAAAATGAAGATGACTGAACTCCTTTCCTTAATGAGGCTGTCCATGCGAGAAGGCCGACAACACTATCAAAGACCTCTGGCCCTTGAACGGCAGAGACAAAAACCCAATCCAAGGCAAGATCCCCCAGAAGGTGATAAAACCCTAACTCCAGCTGCAGGGCTACAAGGCTCGCAGTTAGAGATACAACAACTAAACTTTCAAAATATTGTGGATACGCTTGTTTAATGAGACAGTTTCGTAATATTTTTATACATTTACATAAATTATGTTTCATAGTATTAGATTTCTATTTATACTTATAGTTATAGTGCTATGCTGTTTTTAATATGATCTTCGATTTTAAAATTTGTACAGTGTGTCTATCGTATAAATAACCATTCTTTCTCTTTTCAGTATGTAAAATATTTTCAATATTACCAATAATTGCAAAAAAATCATTATTTTAGATCGTTCATAAATGTTTGATATCTAACTGTTTTAGTAAATGTTAATTTGTTTGCTTTCATCATAGAATGGTAATTAGATCAAGTTAAATTAATTGTGTGCGATAATACTGCACTGACGAATTATTTGATTTTCTATCATTGCAACTAAATTTTATACTTTTATAGTTCAATAAAACAAATAAAATTTTTTGAAAATATTAAAGAAATAACAGAAGTAAGATAGTAAATGTTAAAAGTACATTTTGAAATAGGATCAGGCAGAGGGAAAAATAAAACTTATAAACCGTTTGATCTGAGGACCCGTTTTTATTGTAAAACTGAAGCATGCAATAATAAAAAAAACTTTGAAGAACTTTGAAAAACTTTGAAAAACTTTGAAAAACTTTCGTTTTTGGTGAAAATTTTGTCTAAGAGTCTGATATAAAGCGAAATAAATAAAAGCTAAAGCTTTTAACTA